TTATAAAAATTATTGAGATAATATTTTGTAAAAAAATTAAATTATTAAACTTTTACTACAAATATATTAATATTTAAATTTTGAAAAAAAATTTATATAATAATTAATAATTTAATCTAAGTAGTTCTATTTTATTATATTGAATTTTGAAATTTTAAAATGTTTTAAATTATTTTACAAACAATTAATCAAATTCTTAATTTGACTAGCAAGAAATTCTGTAATTATTTGATCATATAAAAATATTTTCAGAGAAAACATTCAGTTTTTTTCTTCTCTCCATTTTTGAGTGTAAAAATGTAATCCTTTAAATTTGTTGTGTGTATAATGTAAGTATTATTACTGTAAAGTGTTCGCAATACTAATACTATATTTTTAAATATTTTTTTTTTGTATATTTTGTATATTTTTTTTGTTTTTTTAAATAATTTCTATAATAAAAAAAATTTTAAATAATTTTGTAATATGTATTTTTTTTTTAGGACGGTCGAATAAATATACATTGGATTATAAAGGATTCAAAATATTTGATAAATTTAGATTTTGGAAATTCAATATATAATTAATATTGTATAACAGTGTATGATATACATAGTAAAATCATTGAAAGCGTAACAATTTAAAAATATATCAGTAGCTACAGTATTATTGCCATTATAATAACAAATACCTCGATAAATTCAGCATACCAAAATATACATATGTATGTATAACATACATATGTATAAATGTATATTCATACATATATATAAATGTATATTGTTGTATATACATATACATGTATATATACACACATATACAATATCATTGTTAAATGATAAAATAAAGTAATTATTTAAAATAATAAATTATTGAAACTTTTTAATTATTTGCTATCTCCCCTGATTTAATTTCTGTATAAAAATAGATAAAAAAATTTATTTTATTTTAACGTTTTTTAATTATTTTTTTAATTTATTAAAAAATAGAATTCTATTATTATTATATTAATATGATAAAAAATAAGATATATTTTAAATGATTTGTTACATTTTTTTAATACTTGATATCATTTTGCAAAATATTCAAACTTGAATTATGAAAATCGAAAAATTATTAATTTAGAAGATAATTAATTGTACATTAATATTGTATTATTATGACTGAATATTATACCATTTTATTTAATACTAATTATGAAATTATGACATATTTGTTATACTTATTTTTTATGATTTCAATTCTTTGAGTTATTATTTTCAAAAAGTATAGAAAAAAAATACAAAAATTATAAATTAATTATATCTAATTTATATATATATAAAATATATGAAAATATATAGATACATAGAAAAATTAATTTTGATTTCGCGTTTGAATCTCAAAGTTTCAATTTATTATTATAACAGAATATAATATTCAAAATCAATCATGGAACGAGGATATGGATAAATGCGACATTATCTATAATTATTAATCATTTCTGGATAGTGAATATTCTTAAATATCTTTAATATTCGAGAGATGGCGCTGAGTGTCAATTTTTATTCTTTTCTTATTTGATTTTCTTATCTATGTATTTTTAGTTTCATTTATGATATTCAGAAGATGGCGCTGATACTTGAATTTTTACTCTATCTTTGTCTTCCCACTATTTACTTTCTTTATCTATACTTGTTCTTGCCGCGTGACCATAACGAAGTATAAATTAGTCAATGAAATATCTAAATTTTAATGAACTTCGGATTTCATGTCATAATCAAAATATTATAAAAATTTTGAAAGTAATTTTTGTAATAAAAAATTTATTCATTTAAATTATAAATGAAAAAAATTGTTTTGAGTTTCATATATTTGACATTTTTGAGTAGTCCATGTCTTTCCCATGAGGTGTTTAGTGGTGCAAAACCAGAACATTGAGTATCTTGATCTTTCTTATTGTTTAAATTTATTATATATTTACTGAATAAGCACTTTTTATTAAATCAACATGCCGAAAAATAAAGGTTTGTAATTAACTATATTTTTTTTATATTTTTTTTATGTTTGCAAATTTTATAGATTTATGTGTAGACAATCGTAAAATTTTTGTGCAATGTGGTTAGTTTGTTTTAACCTATTAGTGTCAAATTTTTCTTTGATATTGTTAAATATATCATGATAGAAAATTGAACATTTTTTTATTTACAAAAAAAATTAGAATACTAATCTTCAAATTTATTTAACTTTAGGAAAAGGAGGTAAAAATAGGAGAAGGGGAAAAAACGAAAATGAAACTGAAAAAAGAGAATTAGTTTTTAAAGAAGATGGACAAGGTAAAATTTTAGTAGAATATTTATCATGATGTTCTATATTTTGACATTTAAATTTTTTAATTTTTGTTATTTAATTATTAATCTTGTTATTAAATATTATTCATGATTAATATTAACAGCATTTTAAACACTATAAAATAATATTTTGTAATTTAAAAAAGTTTTAATACATATAATATAAATATATCTACATATCTTTTATATATATCATTTATATATATATATATCTTTTATTTTAGAATATGCACAAGTCACAAAAATGCTTGGTAATGGAAGGTTAGAAGCAATGTGCTTTGATGGTGTGAAAAGATTGTGTCACATTCGTGGAAAATTACGGAAAAAAGTATGGATTAATCAAGGAGATATAATATTAATTGGTTTGCGAGATTATCAGGATGCAAAAGCAGATGTCATATTAAAATATACATCAGATGAAGCTCGTAATTTGAAAACATACGGTGAATTCCCAGAAACTGGTAAGTATTCATGTTTTAATTGTTGAAATGAAAAATAAAAATATATTCAAACTATCAAATATTTATAATTATTACATTTTTAAATATTTACTTGAAAATTAAATTTTATTTTTACTTTTTATACTTTCAGTTCGCATTAATGATACTGTCACCTTTGTGGAAGATGGTTTTGATGAAGATATTGAATTTGGTGATGAAATTAGTGATGATGATGAAGATGATGTTGACAATGTGAGTATTTAAGATTTTAACATTTTTAATAAGATTTATAAAATATTATTATTTAAAAATTTTTATTTATTAATAAATTATTATTTAAAAAGAAATTTAATATATTCTTATTTTTTTATATTCTATAATTATAATACTATTTGTAAATAAAATAATATTTTAACTTTATAGATCTGATGATCTTCAGTATAAATATACTTTAAAGATATGGTACAAGAATGCATGAAGACATCTATTTGTTTTACAAGATATTATCATTTGTTGTGTAATTAAGATATTGAAATTTTTTGAAATAAGTAGTCAATTTTCTGTATCTATAAATAAATTTTCACTTGTCTGTGTAATATTGTGTTACAATTTAAAATTAGATCCTGAATTTTCAGGATCTGTAATTGTCATTAGATTTATGGTATTCACTATAAAAAGCCTGTCTTTTAATTTCATATGACTTCGAAATTTCATTTTGAATGGATATTTGATTATAATTGTTTTTTTTAAATTAATTTAAATTTAAAGATCTGTATTAAAATTCAATATAAGAATAATTACGTTATCTAGCTAAATTGAATTAAATAATTATGTATTTATGTATAATATCAATATATTTTTCTGATAGCAAATTTTTTTTATAATTTTTTCTTTAATAAGTGACAATTAAATATATGTACTGTTATTACAATTTTGAACAGGGAAAATAGTGAACACCATATATCATTGCAATTCTATATGTGTCAAAGCATTTCATTGACTCCATCTGTTATATAGATACATAACTTCTGAAGAAGATTGTTTATGTAATTATGTTTAAAAATACTTGGATGTAATTTTAAGATCGAAATCATTGTGAATGATAAAAGCAATATATAACTATTAATATTAATACAAAATTTTACTGAAAAATATTTGTTAAAAACAAAACAGTAAATCTTAACAGTAACAGATGAATTGCTTTCTAAGAGTTATATTTATTTTAAAAAAATATTATTTGTTATGTATCAGATTACTTATAAATATTATTATTTCATTCTTCTATACTTTGTATTAAAAAAATTGTCAGAACATTCAAATCGTGTTAACTGCTGTATAAAATATTAATTCCACAAATATGTAAATGAAATTAATGTCAACTGTTAACAACGAATAAAAATATATAAAATAATAAATTTAATTTGTTTATTTGAATACATAAAAGTATATCATCACCTTTTATTTGTTAAATAACTTAGATCAATATCAAATAATCTATTATTATAATATTTTATATACGTTATATATATATATTTAATTTTTAAGTAATTTTATAAAATATATTTAAAAACTTAAAAATGTGATAAATTGTAAAACTTTATATAATCAATGTAATTTATACATTTTCAAAAATTAGAATGTGATAATCAGAATTGGGTATATATTCATATTTTTGATTTATATTTTTGTAAATACATCAAGGATTGTGTTGTAACAGTTTATTTATTACATTGTCGTTGATAACTCTATCACACAATAGTATATGATAAAATCATACCTTTTTTTCATTTTTGTTATTCTTTAATATCATATGCCATACAATGGCTTTATAATTTTAATATAACATCATAATAATTACGGAGAAGATCAAGCAGAGAAAAATTAGAATAGCTATAGAGCTTGTACTTACATGTTATTCACAAAACCAAAACCATGAAGTGTATAAAATTACGTTTAGAGCTAAAAGCGCACTGATGCGATACTGAATGTTAAATACATTTGATTTAAACGCATGTATATGAAACGTCATCAAATTTCTCTCTTTATATATTTTATTTAATAAGTAATAATTTTTTTTGCGAAATCGTAGTAACAGAACAATTATGAGATATTAAAGCGAGTCTATTATAAACTTTAGTCACGGTGCCAACGTTTATCTCATAAATTTAAGTCAAATTCTATAATGATCCTTATATATTACATTAGAAGAATTAGCTATTACATTTCAGAAATATTATTAGTAAAAGTTAGAATTAAATAAACGCATTAATATTTCAAACATTTAAAATATTTCATTCGTATTCAAGTTTTTGAGGATTGAAATAGATTTATCTTACCATATCATTGTTTTAAGAATATGGTGGATGTTAAGCTTAGGCAATAATACAAAATGTATATATATTTTTTATAGCGTAACATTACTGGCTTACAGAAAATATTGGTGCAAAAAATTTATTATTATGATTTTATAATTTATAAAGATTTATATTCATTATATAGACAAACAGACAAATACTCTATATAGAATAAGAAAACAATATAAAAATTTTTCCAATTAAGAATTTCGTTATTGCCTTATGCGCATTATATTTAATAATTATTATTAGAATTGTATATATATATTTACATAATATTTGTATTAATATAATTTAATTTTTTCAAGAAAATAAATAAAACTAAAATTTTTGTTTATATATAATTTTTAAGAAATTATAAATAAGATTTGTATTTGTAATTTAAATACTTTTTTCAATAAATACTTTTTTCAAAAATATGTTTTTCAAATAAATAATATTAAATCTCTTATATTAAAAAATAGAAGAATAAGAATTAATTATATTTTTATAAATTTGATTCATTTGTATTTTTATTAGACAAATTATGAATAAACAATAAATTAGCCAGTGAAGTTACGTGGTCGACGTTTAGAAGATATTTAATATTTTTTATCAATGTACTCAATAGAGTGTAGATATTAGTAAAAAATTGTACTAGTATACTGCAGAAAAATGACAGTGAATAAAAAAAGTCTGTCAATAATAGTTTTGTCGTGTTACATCAATTTGCGGTCTCGTGTAAAAGGGAAAATAGTTTTTTGTTTTGTAATACAAATAATGTATTGTAACAGTCGGAATATTTAAATGCCAGTATCGCAACGTCCGTAATAAGTTACAATAAATGTTACGACAATACATAGGAGCATAATGTTTTATTTTGATGCGTGTGTGATTGTGCCTTTGGTCCTTAGGTCAGATAGGCTCTAGGCAAGTCTATTAAACATAGAATAACAGTCATTATAGATAATAATTTATAAACTTCAGATGCATAATTATATCTTTTCAATATATTATACATTAATAGAATACCTTATTTATTATATATATGTATATTTATGTATATGTATATATATATATATTTTTTCCTTTTAAATACATACTATATACGATTCCTTTCTGTGCCTTTTAAAACTGTGTTATACATTGAAAGCTAACGCTGCTTAAATATTAAGTGTTTCGCGAGTCATAAAAGTTTAAACAACACATTTCTTTTTTTCTATAATCATCATGTCATTTTACCTTTTTTTTTTCTCTTTTACAATAATTATAATAATTTACATGATTTCACGAAGGATAGATCGCCGATTAACATTCCTTCTGATTTTATGATTTATGCGTGTAACATTCGTCCAATGATTCTGCTATATAAATAAAATATTCATGTTTTAATCTTGCAATTATTACAATCGTATAATAGTACATTTATATAAGTTACGCTAAGAAATTATCATATATACAATTAAAAATTGTTAGGAAATATTCTTTTAAATAAGTTAAATTTACATTACGATTCATAAAAACATTCACATTTCTTGTCGCTACTCAAATCGGAAATAGACGATATCCGATATTTTCTTAAGAATTTTCAATCTTACATTTTGTCTGGGGATTTCCAATGATTCGAATAACAACAAGAAATCATTTTTTTTTCTTTTTTTTTTTAGAATTTGTATATGTGTGTGCAGTTCATCGTCAAAAAATGTGACTCAAGTGTTTGCTGACCTATCAAGCGCTGTATTGCATGGATAGATATACAATCATTCTAAAGCTAAAATGAACTGCCAAATGGCGAGTTATGCGAAGTCACTGTAAGATCTATTTTTTTTTTTCGATACCATCGTCTTCACCTATCTTTCTTTCAATTTTCAAAAAATGTTTACAAATATATATCGCCGTAATGTTGGTCGGACTTGCATCTCTCAGACGAATATTTTTTTTTTTTTTTTTTCCATTGTTTTTTGTCCACATTTTGTTATCGTAAGCGTTTTTACTCCTTCGTTAATTTTCTTCTTCTGTTTCTTTTCGCTTTGAACAACACGAGAAAGGCGTTGTACATGGACGGGTTGGCTTAGTGAAGACTAGCGAAATCGGCTAGTCGGACTAGCGATGATATTATTTAATAGCAAGATTAAACGTAAATATAATATAAGGCAACTCAATAACCGAAAGGCAAGCAAATTCGAAGCGTAGGCCATGAGTATGATAATAAAGTATCGTGCACATATTTTTCACGTATTTTCACGAAGCATTGCGAGAATAATCCACGATATTATCTGACATACATGCGAGCAAGATCGAAAGATTCTTTTTTTTTTCTATGCTCCTGTTTTAATTTTCTAAAAGATAATCTCATTTGACGTTCGAGGATACGCCAAATTAGATAGATGTTTTCATTCAATTATAGTACTAAAGAATTTATATTTAAACG